TCAGACACTTCGACATTTATACAAAACCACGTACGTCTGGGAAATATCGCCTCCTCGTTGTTGATGGTCATGAAAGTCACCACTCCGCAGCCTTCGAGCTCTTTTGTCAAGAAAACAACATTATTACACTGTGCATGCCGGCTCACTCGTCTCATCTACTTCAACCCTTAGATGTTGGTTGTTTTCAGCCGTTAAAGAATGCCTACGGTCGGCAAATTGAGAATAAGATGCGGCGAGGCACAACCCATATCTCGAAGGAAGATTTCTTTGCAGCATTTCACGAAGCTTTTAAGCAGTCTTTTACGAGGAAAAATATCCAGGGAGGTTTCCGAGGAGCTGGACTTGTCCCTTTGAATGCAGAAAGTGTTCTCTCAAAGCTGGATGTAAAGTTCCGAACGCCAACGCCTGAGGAGGGGGTCCCTCAGACACCAGACCCTTGGATCTCTAGGACGCCGAGCAACCCAAGCGAAGCAAGATCACAGTCTACTTTTATTAAGAGTCGAATCTCACGCCACCGAAGCAGCTCTCCAGCATCAATTTATAGTGCTGTGAGTAAGCTAGCCAGAGGGACAGAAGGACTAGGGCATCGGGTAGCATTACTAGAGTCAGAGGTTCAAATCCTTCGAGAGGAGAATGCAATATTAAGTCGGCGTCGAAGGGCTAAGAAAACACGTCTACAGAAAGGAGGAAGTCTTACTATATCTACTGGAGAGGATATACAGTCGCAAAGAGAGGCAGACACGCAACTACAAGAGGAAACGCGACGGAGTAGTGGTCGCAAAGTGAGGTCTGAGACGACTCATCGTCGGTGTGGCGTATGCGGGAATACAGGCCACAACGCGAGAACATGTCAATTTATTGAGGAAACATCCGAAGAACAGGAATCCGAGTAGTATTAATCAATCTAAGATTTCTTGTTATAGATTTCGATATTATTGTCGCGAAGGTCTGGTTTACTGTCTCACTCGCTTGTCTGTCTCACTCGCTTATCATGTACGTTAGTCTTTAAGAGGCGTTAGAAATAAATTTCTACTTATAGTAAAGCCTTCTTTACTAGACGGTATTGCTTTGTAATTAACTAAGATATTATAATAAAGTATTATTTAAAGCTCCTTAAGGTACTTAGATCTATTCCTTATAAACTTACGGCTTGTAAGATCTTATCCTATATACAAGCTTGCTTAAAGCAAACCTCTTAATCCTTAAGCATATCCTATATTATATTAACTAAGTAATATAGGTAGCTAAGTCTATTAAGAAGATAGCCTTTAATATTGTTATTACTTAATTCCGTTTTTAAGGTTATACGGATGCTAAAGTTTTAATACTAGTAAATAGAATAACATACCTACTACTCCCTTAATAGTAGATATATTCTATATAGGTAGTTTAGAATAAGCCGTTAGTCTTTAAACTCTTTGCAAAGGTTTGCTTATGCTTTCTTAAAGGCATCCTCTATCTTAGTAAATAGAACTAACTTCTATATTATAAAAACCCCCCGGTAGCTATATAGCATAGCCCTATCTACTAAAGTATAAATATAGGCATAGTCTTTATTACTAAGTTTAGTATCTAGTTATAAAGCTAGATCGTCTTTTTAAACTTACTATATTAAATAGCTTTAAAGCTACTTCTACTTAGCTTTAAGCATAATGTTTAAGTTAATATAGTAAATATAAAGCTATTATTATATATTTAGAAAGTATTTATTAAGAACTACCTTTATCTATCTATCGTAGTTAGTAATAATATATCTAGTTAGCAAATAGAGTTCTAATTAATAAGTTATAAGATACTTTGCGATAAGAACTAAAACCCTTCTAGTCTCTTATTATTAATAAGACTAAATATTATATTAAATACCGATCTAAGATATTTTGCTTTATAGCTTAGAAGAGTAGAAGCTTAAAGCGATTAGTATTATAAGTATTATTAAAGCTAATAACCTTAGGGAACTGCTTCTATATCCGGAGAAAGTATAGAAACGTCTAGACAAGCCTAACAAGCTGATTCGGCTTATTATCTACCTACTTATAATATAAAGGATTTCCTACTTATTAAAAAGCTTAATTAAAGCTATAGTTAGTATATACTTATTAAGCTTTTCGTAATTAATTTAGGCTTTAGTATTATAAATATCTTACTAAGTAAAAATAGATTTAGGAAACTACTTTTAAATAATAATACTTACGTTATATACCTAAATACTAACTTACTAACTAGTAGTCTTAACTATATCCTTAATAAGCTTAGTTAACTTTTTATAAGATAAGTATATAAATAATACTAAGCTAAGGATATAATTATACTAGCTATATATTAAGTTAGAATACTAACGTAAAAGCTATTTCCTTTCTTTTATTACTTTAGTAATAATTTACTATTAGTAATTATACTTCTAAGATATATAAGCTTAGATACTTACCTTTACCTTGTTTTAATAGCCTAAATCGATCGTAACGAAGTATATAGCGAATTATATATCTTTTATAATAGTATCTATTATACTTTATAATCCTAAATCTATGCTCTTTTATAAATTTATTAACTTGGTCGAGGAGGGTTTTAATTATTACTTCTAGTTTGCTAGGGATTGGTAGGTTTAGAATAGTTTCGGGGGTAGGTAATTTCGACCTTTCGCTTATAGTAAGGAATAAAGTACTTAGAGAAGATAGTATCGCTATTACTTCTAGGCTTTATCGGGGAGGTAAATAAGGTAGAGGAGGAGGAGACTTGCCGATTAAGGATATGTCTGAAGGGTATAGTAAGTAGCCCTAAGCCTTACGATATCGACGAACGCGTTTACATTGTTAGAGGAGAGCATGCGTAAGACGTCGGTTTATCCCAACAACCTCTTAAATAAGGCTTAGAATAGTAGAGAACTAATCTAAAGTAGGTTATAAGGGTTAATTTTTAGGTTATAATACTAATTAGCTTTCTTTTAGTTAACGTTTAGGTAAAATTATACGCTATATACGTATTATCCCCTTTAGAAAGGAATATAGAAGATATAATTTATCTCCCTAAGGGTTATAGCTTATATCGGAATCTTGTTATAATTGTTTAGGTAGAATCTTAGAGATTAGGTTAGGTTAACCTTTACGATTGCTAGCCTTATAGAATTAACTAATAGTAGTATTACTACTAACTAAGATAGCATAGCGTTAGCGCTTAGGAGAAGGCAATTAATTATATATACTAGAGCTGCTAGGTCGGCGACGCGATTAAGGCCTTGATTGACTTATAGAAGTAGATATCTTGACGTTATAAAGGAGAATAAATTAAATATGTCTAATACGCTTTCGTAGTTATAAAGGGATAGGCTAAGAAGATAAGAAAGATACTTTATTAGATAATAGCAGAATTCGGATATACTAATAATAAAATTTTAAGCTAATCACAACCTTAGAATATAATACGTCCCTAAGGATGATGCGTCCTTATCAATTCGTGATGCGTCCCTTATCAATTCCTATAAAAAATAGCCGATTAAAGTTCTACTATCAACTTAATCTAATAAACCATACTATTTTATGTTCTATATATTGTTGCATGGATTAGGACGTCGCTTGGAGGTTAAGTAGAGTAATATCCAAATCTTCGTTAACAGACTCGGATTACTAACCTCTCCGAATGTTTATGTCGCCGCTAGCAATAACCTACATCATGTTATTATAAATAAAGATTTCCCTTTACCTCGTTGTGAAAGGATTTTGAACATATAGCTCTCTCTCTCTCTCTCTCAACTCTCAATACACAATTAAACCACACCTGGTTCTGATTCTATTTACTAAAAGTAGGCAACTCCTAGCGTGTGGCACAACCTTTAGAATGCAAGCAGAAACTAATTTTAGTCAAATTAAGATGAAGTCCTACGTTATTATGGCTGCACTAATGGCGTCAGCTGCTATTGCTGCGCCGACAGCAAAGGAGTAGGAAACGTTCCTTACAGTCGATACATATTCCATTCCTAACTCCGTGTTTTAGTGTACAAATCGAAACCCGTGCTCCTCCCCGCGGGCACAACTACCCAGCTCCAGGCGGCTCAAAGGCAGCTGGAGTTGCTGCTCGTGATGACCCCCGCGGAGGTAACTATCCGGCCGCCGGCCACTCGAAGCCAGCTGAGGTTGCTGCTCGCGATGACCCCTGGGGATATGACTACGACGGCGCTACAGTAGCTGAGGTTGCTGCTCGTGATGACCCTCGCGGTCATGACTATGCGGTTTCCGACGATGCCACGGTAGCCGAGGTTGCTGCTCGTGATGACCCCTGGGGAGGTAACTATCCGCCCTCCGGCCGCCCGAAGTCAGCTGAGGTTGCCGCTCGTGACGATGCCCGCGGACACAGCTATGGGGCTCCTGGCGGCAACTAAGTCATCCGCCTTCTGCTTGAACATCACATGGTCCCTCGGCGGTCTAGGATAGTTTGAGGAGATGGAAAATCAAAGACGGCTATGTCATAAGAGATGTTGTCTTATATGAGCCCTGAGCGTAGAATGATAATGAAAAAAAGCCCCAACAACACAGTTCCCCTGAAAATCTATCAGATGCGTCTCAAGCTATGGACTACAGCAAAGGAATCACAAGGCTCCATACACATTTTCGACACAGCCTGCGGTGCCGTCGCACCCATTGAGTCTTCATACGGAACCTCTCCAATATGTTCATCAACTATAGCTGCGCTCGTCTGAAGCCTTCCATCACACCTCATAGAAAAGACGTCTACAGATAATTCGCCGTCGGGCAGCCATATTTAGTCGCTATCGAACAAAGGGTTAGTCCGGTAAAGCTGTTTAGCCAGCGGAGAAAAGAGAGAAAAAAGGGAATGAACTAAAAATGAGAGGCAAAAGAATTGATGGGGGAGCTTGAAGCTGAAATGAATTGAAATTGCGAGATCAAAACAGGCAGAACATGCTTGGGCAGGGCCGCTGCTCGTTGCGGTTGGTCGCAGTTCGGAAGACCATCAAACTCTGGACAGGCTCAATTTTGGCCTTCCCTCTGTCTTGACGATTGAATTTCAATTTCTAGTCCATTGCGAGAGTGCTGTCTGTCGACATCTCCAGGTAAGCTATAGCCGCCTTCGTACAACGCGCAGAACCTTTGCCAGACCATGGAGTTGTTGGCGTACACAAAGTACTGTGCAAAGGAAGAAATCTAATGTTCAGGACGCCTTAGTATTTAATATCTATCCAAGATATGAGCTTAAATATGACCATGGTATCAGTGATATTAATAGGAAACTACGTAGGACAGGGGGTACAAAATTTAGCCTTCCTCCGACAATAGATATTCTTCTTCACGGCCGGGTTCTTTGCAAAGGTGCCTAACTCACCATAAGGTACTTGCCCTATTCCCCAGATTGCACGACCTTAGTGCGGCGGTTGATCTATACACACTTAGCAACTGATGGCATGAACCTGGACGTGAAAAGATGTGAAACTAAAGAAGAGAAGAGTAACCAGTGCCAGCATTGACTCGACAGGGGTGCTGTTTTTAGGGCTAACTTTATCTGACAAGGTTGGCAGTTCTGCAGGTCCTGCACTTCGCGCAAGGTAGAGTTTGACCATTGAATAAGGTTAATTTTTGGGATTATCCGATCAAACACTCAAATTTGAGTTGGCGGCTCTTTTAAGGCGATTATGGTCGGACATATGGGCTTCGAGCTGATTTTCCATCTGTCGTACAATGCGGTCCTGACGTCCTCTACCCAACTTGAAGAACGGTTTTCTTCTCGATGTACTGTACTAGGTCGACAGCATTTTGCGCTAGGGCGATCTGAGACATGAGTTGGGAGTGTATAAATTGACAGGTCAATGCGGCTGGATTGAGGATGCTTCAGTGAAGGGCGATTGGGCTGTTGTTGAGCAGATAGTCAAATTGTTGGTACAAAACCGAGCAATATTTGTACTCTGCACATTTGGCTGGTTACGTCGAGCCATGGAAACATCATCCATCATCTGGGAAACAGGGTGTGACAATCACTCGACAAGGTTCCTGCCGTGAAGAGAAGCGTAATAAGAACTGAAGTTGCAAATGTGACTTTCCAATAGCTTGCTAGGGGCTAACAATGATTGTTTCAGTTGGGGCGGAAGACGAAACCTGTACTTCTGGTGCGTTAATTGTTGACGTTATCAAATCACAATGTCACCTCGAAGAGAGCCACATCACCTACGGACTATTACTCACACCATCGGCCCTCTCACACTCGTACCGTGAAGAACTATCAATCTAACCGAACACACCATCGTTCTTGGGCTCAAATTCAACATGAGGGCGATTCGCTGCGGAGCTGGGGAACTCGGCGGGGTCGTTGGGAAGAATGCCCTCCATGATGGGAGCTGACATGCCAAGCTGGGAAGCCACCACGTTAATATAACCCACAAAAATTGTAATAGGGGAAATCGACTTACCGCGAAGTACCTGAGCTTAACCGCGTGAATCATTGTCGCCGCCTTGCCGGTAACCTTGAACCGCAGAACGCTCCAGCCCAAAGGCGGCAAGTCGTGGACCGTAACCAGGCCCGGGCTCCGCAGGTTAAGCGACGATGCCGCAGTTTTGTCCGCGGCAACCGCCTCTTCCACGCTCGCGTACGGGAACTTGGCATTGTGGCCGACGCCAAGGAGCCACGCGGGCTCGGCGTGCTTGTACAAGGGGATTGTATCGTTTAGCTGATTCTCGATTATGAGGTCAACGACACTGCCTACAGGGATTCCTGTGATGATGGGCTTCTCTAGTGGCCTATCTACGTTCGAGCCGACCCCTTGAAAAAGTAACGGCGTCAGAGACGAACGGAAGAGTTGCCATGGCTTCTCGTTGAGGAAGTATTCCGGCACGTAAGGGTCCGTGAGTGAGTACTGCGACCCAGCTGCGAGACGGAAAGTGAAGTCTGCGGATGCCGGGCGGGAGTGGGCGCTTTTCGGTGGCGGAAGTGCAGGGTATGGCGACAGGAACTGGCCTTCCAGAGTCTTGCAGCTCTTTTTCGTGAAACCGTCCGGGAGCACGCAGATGTCTTCCGCGGACGCCGGTTGCGGAAGTTGCATCGGCGCTCCATAGATGGGGCGACGGCTGGCCTAAACATTCGATATCTGTTAGTCCCTATAATTCATACACTTTATGTCGAACAAGTGGCACTTACCGGGTACCGAATGATCGAGTAGCTTTGCAGGTTCTGCAGCTGGCTTGTTGACGAAATGCGGAGGGCGTAGTCGCCTGGTTCCGCATCAAGTTTGATTAGGACAGTGACTCTGCCAGCACTGGGAATGTATACAACCTGTGTATGATTAGGATCATCACATGTTATTGTAAATATTGAGACTGACATCGGTTTCTTCAGGCGTGACGAAGCCGCCGTTGTTCGCAACGACAGTCATTTTATGGTTGTCAATAGATGTGGGTGGCAGGCCTCGCCGGCCCGTCACGTGGGCTGACGGCCGCCACCACTGGTCTTAGCCAGCCTCCACAGCCCTCTAGCCAGTTAGTTAGTTCTTCAACCAACAACACCACTTTTCCCATTCTGAGCGTTCTATGCTGGTTTCGCCCACAGGTTATAAGCCTAGCGTTATTCTTTCGGAATAACGTCGTTTTACCTATTATTCTACTTGTCTATCAATTTTCTATTAATTTACGAATTTTTGCGATTTTATTCGCTTTATTTACCTTTCTATGCGATTTTCTCGCTTTCTTTCCTCTTCGCTAACGAATTTCACTTTCTGACGCGATATTGGCTGCCTGGCGCGTACGAATATCACGTAGCACGCGACCGACTACTATAACCTACTAGTTTTCATAGATACTACGGAATTCTACTATAACAATAGACTTTTTAATTATAACTATATTATAACTATAACTTTTACTTTAATTCCTCGTTTTTATAAGAATTTAACTACTTTAGCTTTAGTTTTTTAAACTAGCTTATTAGTTTCTTATATCTTCTATAAGTATTTATTCTTCCCTTCGATTTACTATATTTCTACGGTCGGATCTTATAATTCTACTTATTTCTCGTATTCTTATATAAGATTCTCCTTCTTATATAATATTTATACTTCTTTAATACTATTTACTTATTAATACTTTCCCTTTCTAATAGCACGCGTAGGTAGTAGCGAAAGTAAGCTATCTAACGTATAGACACGCTTCTAAAGCTATAGCCTCGGAGAAACGCCTATAATCAAGGTACGACTATAAGTCTATCCCGCACTATTATAATACCCTTACTTTTAAGATGTCTTAAAACGATTTTAAGACCGTCTTTACGCCTCTTCCTCGCCTGAAAGGTAAATCTAACTAGAATATATAGCGTATGCTTATTATAGCGACCTTGCGAGGATACGACTTCGAGATATTCCTCGAGACTAACGTCCCTCGCCTTACTAACCCTATCGCTATAGAGGAATAGAGAAAAAACCGTAACGTTACGTATAGTCTCCTTATAAACGCTAGCAAATCGGTTCTCGACAGACTCTATACTAGCGGGTTAGATCGACGATAGAAACCTATACTAGTTATAGCAGGCGCTCGAGAAGCATATTCCGAGAATCTTATAAGATACTATAGCTACCCTTATTAACGAGTTTGCTAAGACTACCGCTAACGATTATAAGACTTTTTACGATGCTTTTAATCGCTATTACTACCTTAGAAAGCGTATTAAGACTATTTACGGTCGTCTGCTAGACTCCTTCCTTGCTATTTTCCTCCTTAACTTCTTTAAAAACCGACTTCCCGATACGTATAAGTATTTTATATCGAAAGGCGCTACCTATCCTACGTAGAATAAGGTAGCTAATACGATTTATATACTTACCTAAGACGAGGATTAAAAGCATAGTTATGCTACTATTCGTAATATACCTAGAAGCAAGTCTGCTAGCAGTAGGGGTCTTGCCTCTCTAGCCGTTACTACTACCGTTACCTCTACTATTACTAAGGAAAAGAAGAAGTACGACTATTATAACTATAATTACGAGACTACGAAAGTACTATGTCGCCTACCCTAATCTTATCCCTCTATACTATATTAACTAGGATAAGTTAATTAAAAAAGCAAGAAAGTATATATATAGCGATCGCTACCGCTAGGATCAGCCTACTTCTATTAATAGTACCTGCTAGACTATTATCAAAGCGTTACCTACTATCTTAGGTTAGTCTGCCCTTGCCTCTATCGCTAGCCTAGCAGTTTTTACTACTACCTACGATAACCTTATTACCTAAGACGATATCGTTCTCGATTCTAGTTATACTACTTTAACCTTTAATAACTTACGATATTTCGTTAAGTACGCTAAAAAAAGCGATTTAATACCTTCTACTTCTGCTTCCGGCGCCTTAGTCTAGTTACTTAGCATAGGTACCGTCTTCTTCTAGACCTAAGACCCTACTAACCCTAACGTTATTTACGATTAGATACTTTATAACGTTAAGTATAACTCTTCTAGCCTAGCCAACTTACTAAGCCTTAGAAAACTTTGTTATAATTACGTAGAATATAATTAACAAACCTTAAGCCTTATATACGTAACATAGCATACTTCCCTTACTAAAGTTTATTAGGTTTCTAACGTCTACGTTGTTAAGACTTATAATACTAGAAATTATATGCCTCGAGATATTACTATCAGCCTCGCCGCCTTCTAGGCTACCTAGCGACCGTCTCTTAAACTAATATACCGCCGGCTAGTTTACGCCTACCTATTACGTATTATAAAGGCTTGCCGCCGTGTTAGCATTCGGTTTATAACGTTAGAAATTAACGCCTTTTTCTATAAGTCTTACTATCTTAGCAAATCTACTAAACGGATTAGTCAAGACTAACTACTTCTACTTACGAGTATTAGCAATGAAATTTACCTTGATCTCGTTAGTATTCTTCCCTTATTAATAAAAGGGAACCGTTAGGTTCTATACCTTATGGATAAGTATAGTAGTTACTACTAGGTTGTTTTTCTACCTAACTATAAGTTTGCTACTATCTTAGTAGCTATTAAGAAATAGGATACTAAATTCTATAGTCTTACTAGCCTTAAGCCTAAGGTTTAGGTTTCTAATAATACTCCCGAGCTAATCAAGGTTTTTAATAACCCCTACTTCGAAGGTACTTGCTATAATACGACTATTGCCTATACGCCTTCTATAAACGGTATTATTAAGCATGCTAGTCGTACTATCGTCGAAAGCGCCTAGATATAGCTAATTAATATATCCCTTCTAGAGGAACTATAGGATTATAGTATCGATTTAGTAACTTAGATTCTTAACCTCTTGCCTATACCTTCTAAAGGTAACTTAAGCCTTTACGAGATTATAGCGAGAGAGCTAAACTTAGCTGCTAAACGTAAGGCCCCCTATATTAAACATCTCCGAACGTTTAGCTATGCTGCCTATATATATAAGAAGGGCCTTCGACGCCTTATACGCTCTGCTAAGATAGAACCATAAGCAATTAAGGGATTCCTCGTCGGTTACGGTTCTCTTCGTAGCTATATTTACTACGTTTACCTACCTAATCGAAAGGAGGTTATTCGCTATAGAGATGTTCGATTTCGTAAGGAACCGTATAAGACAGTATTGCCTCTAACTACTAGCATACCTAATATTAATAAAATTAAACATAATACTATGTTTATTAAACTAGATATTATTATCTAGTATACTATCTATTAGAAGCTTATTAAAAGTAAAAAACCCGTAACTAGTAATCCTAAACTAGATAAGACTATCGTTAAAAAAGCGATAATACCTACTAATATATATCTTATATCTCCGCTACTAGAGAACCTATTAGAGACTACTACTATACCTCGTAATAGTATTACTAACGAATTAAATAATAACGAATTCGTCGCTTCCGTAGAAATAATAGAAACTAATTACTAAGACCTTAATTCCCTCTCTACGATTGTTAAGGAAGTAATAAGTCAACCGGCAAAGTCCTCTCGACCTTGCTACGCCTTAGCCTAGCGACTACCTAGTTACTACTAAGCCGCTAGTAGCATACGCTCCTATACTAAAAAGACCTTCCTATCTACTAATATTCTAGCTTTACTAACTTCTCGATTAATTCTCTCTTAGCGTGCTTTCTACTACTGCCTTTTCGAAAGTCTTACCTAACGGCATAGTAATCCCGAAGTCTTACCGTAAGGCGTAGAAAAGCCTATAGTAGCCTTAGTAGGAATAAGCCTTTAAACGAGAGATAACTTAATTTATAGAAAAGGGGGTTTACGAAGTCGTTTACTTACTACGTAACGCTAAAGTCCTACCTAGCAAGTAGGTATATAATATCAAAACTAATAAAAATAACGAAATCGTACGCTATAAGGCTTGATATATAGTTTATAAAAACTACGAGAAAGGTAACTAGTTATTATAAAAGGTTTACGCTATAGTTACCTCTACTACCGCAACCTACTTTTCTTCGTAGTTATCATACTTCTCGATCTCGAATACGAAGTATATAATTTCGATACTGCTTTCCTAGCCGCCTCGATTCTAGAAGGGGTTAAGGTATACGTCTAGCCTCCCGCTAGCTACGCTACTAAAGATAACAAGGTATAGTTACTATATAAAGCACTCTATAGCTTAAGAAAATCACTACTCTAGTAGTTTCGTCTTATCAAAAGCGAAATAGAACGAATTAGCTTTACTATTATTAATAAGGAGGTTTATCTCTTCGTTAACTATAAGATTAAAGCATACGTTCTTATATACGTCGACGATAACGCTATCGCCGCTCCTAATAAGCAGGTTATAATAGAAGTTTATCGTCTCCTCGAGAAGGTCTATTCTCTTAAAGACCTCGGCAAGGCTACCGATTTTCTCGGTTTCTAGATTGAACGCGACAGGGCTGCCGGTAAGATTTTCGTTTCCCAAGCTAAGTATATAAAAGCAATACTTTAACGATTCGACTTTAACGGTTTAAACGCTGTTAAGACGCTTATAGCGACTACTAACGATCTACCTATTACCTAGGATAAGAACGAGTACTTGCTTAACGAATAACAACTTTATATCGAACAAACCGGCTGCCTTAACTTCCTAGTAGCTAGAACTTGCGTTAATATAGCTTATACCGTTAGTAAATTATTATAAGCGAATTCAAAGCCTTCTAAGGCTTATCTTTATATTATTAAGTACTTATTCTAATACTTTAAAAGTATCGTTTATCTCGGTATTATACTTAGAGGCATCCTTACGATTAATAAGTTAAGGCTTTACGCTATTATAAATACTTCTTTCGCTAATAATAAGCTATTATAAGTCTTAATAAGGTAGTTACGTCGTCTTCCTTGCTAGTATGCCGATTGCTTAGAAGTTAAAGAAATAGACTTTCGTAACTTTAAGTATTATAAAGGCTAAATTTATTAATCTTATACCTATAGTAATTACTATAAAGTAGATTAGACGTTGCCTTTCCTAACTACTTAGCAAACCTATTACTATGCCTACTATTATATTTACTAATAATACTAATAGCTATAATAACGTTATAAACCTACTTAACAAGGTACGAACCCGCTATATCGACGTCCGATATAAATAGATTATATAGGAGGTTTATACTACGAAAAGCATCGAACTCCGACTTATCAAGGGCGCTGATATGGCCGCCGATAGACTTACGAAGCCACTGGTTGCGGTCAAACACAAGGAATTCGTTCGTTTGTTGGGCATGGCGGAGGGATTGGATTAAGAGGGGGATTTTAAGACTATAAGACTATTGATATTGAGACTTCGGGATTCGGAGGATTTCACAGCCTCCTATTAGCTAGGTTTAACCGGTAATTAACTAAGTTTTCTAATAGTTAAGAACTCCTCGGATTTGGAGGAATTAGGACTTTTCCTGTATTTTCCTATTATTCTTTTTCGCTGAGGAGTCTGAGAGGGGGTGTGGGTGGCAGGCCTCGCCGGCCCGTCACGTGGGCTGACGGCCGCCACCACTGGTCTTAGCCAGCCTCCACAGCCCTCTAGCTAGTTAGTTAGTTCTTCAACCAACAACACCACTTTTCCCATTCTGAGCGTTCTGTGCTGGTTTCGCCCACAATAGACGCGACGACGGAGTGCTCGAAACCGATGTTGATTAGGTTCAACATGATGTACGGTCGCCCCTCTGTCTCGATGACCTAGGCAACGTTAGCTTCTTCTATGCTCCTCTCTGCAGCCTATGAGTGCATCTCTCACCTCATAGTCTGCTTGACTGGGGGTGCAAGTCTCCTGCGGCAACCCGGCTGGCTGTGCGCAGCCTGTTTCGTCGAGATCACGGCCATTCAACTGCTCGAAGCCGGGCTGACGGCAATGAACACGACCCTTGCCTGTTAGACAAGCACCATTAGTTTGGTACAAACTTGTGCGGGGACGCTTCTGCACCTACCATTGACAAGGATCGAATCGTAACAGTAAAACTCTGAACCTTCGGCCTTCATACGCAGCATCTTCCAGCCAGTATCGCGGTGTTGGTGGTTCTTAATCGCGATGTGGCGGACCTCCTTCTCCGCCTCCATGATCTTTCGCAGCTCGATTTCATCATTTGTGATCAACCTGTACGGTCGTGGTCTTGATGGGCTGGGTGCTACGTAGACCATTCCGTAAAGACCCTTCATCATTAAGTCAGTTCAAGTATCTATGTACGGGACAGGTGAGTTAATACATCAGCGGAGGCCGCGGTTGTGTGCTCGGCGTACCAGTTCAGACCCCACGAGCCCGTCGTATCGATAACACTGGTAAAGTTGCCACGAGGAAGGATCGGGAACTGGTCATTATATCAGCCATATGTCTCACATTGGGCGATACCTCAACAACAAACCTGAGAAATTCCGGCCGTACCGTCATTCCAGCTGCCGGTTCTGGACGGAATTGTCAGCAAGGCAAGGCTAGGATGTCCAACGACTCTATCTTACGCTTTGTGGCCGATTCCAGACCTGAAGTTTGTTTAGCAACTAGAAGAAGATGGTATGTGGCGAACATACCAATGAATGGATGACTGGGCATAGACATCGCTCTTGACCGTCAACTCAACAATGTCACCCTCCTCAGCGTACAGCGTGGGGCAGGGCGACTGGCCATTGCAAACGAACATTACTCTCCAGCGGCCGCCATCTAGAGCCCAGTTAGCTATAGCGTTGAAAAATCGAGCTATATGTTACTGGCCTGGATTCATCCACCTAACTCCAGACTGGAGGTTGTACTTGCGAATAAACCTGTCCGGTTTGCTTGCCGAGAGGCCGCCCCAGCTACCAAGCAACGTGTGCTGTAGGGGGTTGCCTCGCCAAAACCCCGCTAGGATCAGAAAACATAGAGCAGCTAAGCCAGAAACCCACACAACTCGGGACTTTTTACCGCTCTGTCCCCTCCCGGCCGATTCAAGTTGCTGACCTTTAGATCCCATTTTGGCACAAATTCAAGAGCTTGCAACAACCAAGGGCTTCGGGAGGTGTGGGACGGCCTGGGGGCACCACAGCAATAAGTAAGAGAGTGCATAGGACGGTGGAAACAGCAGGGAGGGAGGCAAATCCCAATCCCATGGTCGCGTCGTTTCTGACTCTCACTGATTGACAACTGACTAGTTGATCTTTGTTAACTAACAGCATCACTTCTGCGGTGTGACGCCGTAACTTCCGGAGCAACATGACAAAAAGAGAGTGGTCTCCTTGATGCAAAACAGACAGCGACCCGTTAATCATGACTCGATTGTTTCATTATTGGTCCATTGTTATCTCCACGATACCGTTGAAATGCCGAAGACCCTCATCCCCTGGGAGATTTTATGCCCTAAGTCGGGGTCCTGGTCTGAACATTGGGCATAATGTTGGAATCCCATGTTGGAAAAAAAGTTTAAGTTAACGCTAAATGGGCCTAGACAAATGACAGCGTGTGAAGTGCGAGAAAGCGGGTTGTCATTCCTGACTCGGTAACTTGCGACGCTCGCAATCGGCGCGCGGTAGGGATGTCCTTGATATCAACGGAACGGGCTACCGATATGGCGATCAGTAGTACAGCCCCCCGTGAAGAATTGAGCACTTGATATTTGATGAGATGGTCCCGCTTCCGACTCCCTTGTCTTTGCGGAGGCCAGACAAGCTGCCAAAGAAGCCATCATGTTAGCTTACGTTCGGTGTGCGACTTTCTTTCTTCTCGCTGGAGCAAGTCTCGCAGCAGAGACGAGGAGATACAACTTCACCATTACCAATAAGTGGGACAAGGGAGATGGTCATGGTAGGCCTGTATTTGCCATTAACAATGAGACGCCGGGGCCGTTGATAGTGGCGGAAGAGGGTGATGAGATTGAAGTGTTTCTCGACAACCAGCTGGCGTTTGAGACCACTATGCATTGGTAAGTCGTTCAACACACCCGGCTTCCACGAACTGAGTGGATCTTGCGATCTGATCTCTCCACAGGCATGGGATCTACCAGATTGACAGGCCTTGGAACGATGGAGTTCCCGGCGTCACGCAGTATTCCATCCAACCCCGCGATACCTACACCTACCGCTTCACTGTTCAGCAGCAATATGGAAGCTATTTCTATCACGGTCACTTTGGGCCTGCATTCGCTGATGGCATGCGAGGTCCCATCTGGATTGTCCCGGCAGCATGGAGACCAAGACCATATGAGCTCATCTCGTCCTCGCCGGCAGACATCGAGGGCATGAAGCTTGCAGAAAAGAATCCACATCACGTTGTCATCAGTGATTGGAACGCTGAACCCATGGATATCCTGCTCATGATGTACAGGGATACCGGCATTGTGCCATGGTGTAGCAACTCCATTGTTTTCAACGGCAAAGGCAGAACATATTGTCACTCGAAAGACTTGCTTGAATCTGTCGGTGGTCCTGGTAGGGACTCACTAGGCTGCATCCCTCAGGACCGCCAGGCGGAGTTTACGAACCTACAGACCTGCCAAGAAACGTTTGCTGACCTCGAGATCTTTGAGGCGAAGAGTGGTGAGGAGTGGATGTGGATCAACTTTATCCATTCCGGCGCCCACCATGAACTTCAAATCAGCGTGGACGAGCATGAGTTTTACGTCGTTGCTGCTGACGGTGAATTTGTGCATCCCCAAAAGGTCCATGCTGCGAATTGCAACCTTGGTGAGCGCATCAGGTAGGCAATGATCCTTCGACCACTTAGGAAAGTACGAAGAATGTCTGACGGGAGTATAGCATTCTTATCCGCTTGGACCAGAAGCCAGGCGACTACGCCATCAGAGCCACTTCTCTCCGTCGAGAGCAGATCATCCAGGGTCTCGGAATTCTTCGGTATCCCGGCCAGGGCGCCACAGACAGACAAAAGGTCCCCGCCACTAAGCCGTGGGTGCATCTTAACGGGACGCTCATCTCGCCATCATCAGTGGCTATGGACGAGAAGAAGCTTGCACCGTACCCCGCACGCCCGCCCCCAGCCAAAGCCGACAACACGATCAGGTTCTTTGTTAACATGACTGGGCCCAGCAGCTGGGCGCTGAATATTGGCCCTCACCAAGCATTCCGTCAACAGTTGCCGCCGTTACTTTGGACCGAAGAGTCACGTGGTCTTACAACTTACGGAGACGACACTAATAGTGGTTCACTACGCAATGGCACCGTCGTCGACATCATTTTCGAAAATGGCGCCAATGTCACTTCGCAACACCCGTTCCACAAGCATAACAGCAAGGCATTTGTCATTGGCACTGGGAGCGGCGGCTTTCCTTGGCCGACAGTTGAGGATTCCATTCGGGATGGAGGGATGGCAAAGTATTTCAACTTGGTCGACCCTCCAAACCGTGATGGATGCAGGTTGGGCAACAGCACGGGTGACTGGACAGTCATTCGATACGAGATCTCTTTTCCTGCGGCTAGTATGCTCCACTGCCACATGATACATCACTTTGCAGTAAGTGCTTATCGTCCCTATGTATTAGTTGGCCTATTCTAACTTTCACAGGCTGGACAACAAGTCGTACTATTAGAAGGTGTTGAGTCAATGGCACCGATTCCTTTGGCGATGAAGGATAGAGTGCATTCCGATTTCAGAGCGCCTCTTCGCTACGGGCCTTTAGACTAGGTATCCTGATAAGCGCCTCTTGCTAGACCAAAGAAACATGCTTATAGTTAAAGTTGGCAAAAGTCATTGGGGCCAATGTCTAACTTTGTTTTAACCTTAATACATGTGTCGGTGCTGAGAACCCGAAATTGGATGGCATGGCTTATGACGTTTGTGCCCGAGACACCGATGAAACACCTAGAGCATTTTATTGGTGTCAATGAGCATATTTACTTAAATGGGCTATCATCTAGGCACTAGATACACAATTCGCACATCATTCTGATTACCTAGGTCCTGTGGAAAGACGGTGATGGATTTTTCTAGCTTGAAAGGTTGCCCCACGTGTTAATATTGCTCAACAGAAGGTCCGAAACTTTAAATGCCTCAGGCGCATTCACGCCCCATGGATATAGCCAAACTAGATGATGGCATGATTCGATCCAATGAGTAGGTTCCTTGATCTCGATGTAAGCCCATTTGCCAAGTTTCTGCCGACCAAGCTTGAATATTAATCGCTCAAGAAGATGGTCTAGCAATCCAGCATATGTTTCGTACATCTTTCACACTTGCGGTCGAATATACTATAGGTCCCAACTCTGATTGTTGAGCCAACTAGGCCCTAAGCACGGCTTTTCTTTGTCAGTTCATGTTCGGGTATTCTGTTTCCAGACGAAAATGCTGCATCTAATGGTGTCGATCAGCAATATGATTCTGCCGAGAGCCTCATTGGAAATGAAAGAACTTCAAAACTTGACCGAGTGCTGAAAATAAGACAATGATTGGCAGATGATCATGGAAAGAAACGAAGGTTGAGTTTACATGGGTTGTTTAGAACAGGAAGTCGCACAGGTACTTTGATCTGATGCGGGCGAGGTGGGTAGCTGTGAGGAATGTTGCTGTTTCTTATTCAAGTTAAGGACGGAAATGGATAAGACAGATGCGACACTGCCTCAACCAACACGCACCACCTTCATCGGCTTGTCTCGTGAAAATATCAGACGGTTTGGATTATGACACGGCAGTAGTGACTTGGTATTAGCTTGCTTGGGTCAAGCACGCCAATTATAAGCTTTCCAGCCTTAATTCTTGTTACTCGGCCCTAAAGTAAGAACCTAGAAAGCGAGGTCATCCTTTTAAGAGAAGTTTTAAACTCAAATGGCAGAGATACGCACAACTATAAGTGACGAGTAAACCAACAAGTTATGCACGCAATGTCAAAGTTTCCTCAACACCTCACTGTCTGTGAGAAGGCATTCTGACTTCGTGAATGATACGATAGTTGAATGAAGAAAAGCTCACCATCGTTAGGAGAATGACTCAGAAGCTCGCAAACGGTGAATGTCTTATTCTTAATCCACTTTAGGGAGGTGTTGGAGTTGATCAGCTGTTGTGAGGGGGGAGTTCGCGACAGCCGCATTGGGTAATATCGGGATGATCGATACGGATGCATCTTATTCTGTCCCCAATTTCACTTACAACATTCCATCGATGAACAAAAGAGAAAAAGCGAGAAAACAGCACGGTAGTAATGATGTTTGATGGTAATTACGACGATCTAGAGATTTCGCCCCGAGTAAAAAAATTGCATTACCCTCAATTCATGGATCCAGACGGTCTACCTATGACTACATGGTGAACTCAACCGAATGTTGCTCCGGTCGAAATCCAAATTTGACAAGCATTGAAATTGAAGCATCTTGTGAGCGAACATCTTGGAAATCTCAACGAACTAGATAGGTTAAAGCTGCAAGTGCCGTCGGAAATACCGCAATCTTTTCGGGGATACTATCCAAATGATTCGACGCTGAGACAGTTTCACTTTATCAGATACCCTTTTGTCTTGATTAAGTGAAATGCGCTATTTAGATCAGGGTCTTATACACACACTAACAAGAGTATACTCGAAGCCCAATTCCATCTTAAGTTCAGGCCGACCAACTGGCAGTGGTGGGGAATCAGGTATAACCTCCTTCGCGAGCTAGAGCTATCACATACGACCATACCCATTGGAAAACTCGGGATCCCGTCCGCTCTCCCATAGATAAGTCAATGAGGGCCGGATTAGTAGTTGGGTCGGTGACGACCAGCGAATACCTGGTGTTGTATGTTTTTGTGCTTTTTGTTTGGCTTCTTGTTATCTGCAAGCGATGGTGGTGGTGGGCGACGACGATCCCTTCCCGCCGCTAGTATTGCCTTTATGCTTGCTACTGTTCAAATGCTTTTACCGAGCTCTTTTATCTTTTCGTGATCGACACGGTAAAACATAGGTAGATTATCTTATCCCAACTCACTCACACCAATCTAAATTCATTCTATCGCCCGTCATCGATCTGCCTTGCAACTGAGTCGTGAGTTCTTCGTCATCATATCTACCCATTCAAATACCCTCGGCCGGGCTGGACATGATATAATCCTTGGTGAATAAATTGGCCGCCTTGGAATGCAGATTCGCCTTCTAGATGCCTCCTCACTTGGCTCGTGACACTTCAGAGGGTCGAGGCCCCTCCCTTCAGACTACTCGTCCAACTCGGATCTGAGACATTGGCTTGCACTAAGCCCGGTAAGTTCCTCGGAAATATCTTCAACCAAATGAGGAAAACTCTGAGACCCTTGAATGGCCGTTTTCGCAAATATCTCATCTTCTAGTCCGTGGCTTGTGCAGTGATACAGTAGTGCTAGGCGCCACTGGGGAAGCCAAGCTGGCCAAGCTACACTATGCAATAGGACACTACCTTGCCGATCAGCTGAGACAGATGCTTCTCGACTTCCTGCCATATGGCATCTGTCTCGAATGACGTTCTTCTTTGGTGATGCACCGTAAAATATATAAATGATACTTGCTGGGACGTACAGTCTAGTTATGATCTTGCTCGTTGGGGACTCCAGGCCGGAACAACATGGAAGCTCAAGAAGTCAACAACGAATTACTCAAACTCATTCTCACGAAGCTGCATCGTCTAGAAAAGCGCTTCAATGAGATTGACGGCCGTCTCGGCTCGTTTGAGAATTCCATCCCCCCCGCTGCTGGCAGCATTCCCCCGAGTGGTCCGCAGGGCGGCCAACCTCCGAACGTATGTTCCTGCCACATTCCACAACAAGGCTTCCAGAATCCCCAAGTAGACTGGGAACGAAGAGCCGGCTCCTCGAGCTGCAAGCCGTCCATCGACAATGTGCGCAACCGCTTCGAGTTCGACGACCACTCCGAGGTGACGCCCTATGAGGCCGGAGCCTCCACACCCTGCAATGGCAGAAATAACATGGTAGAAGAAGACGACTGCTATTCCGTCTCCATATACCCATATTCGATGCGCACCGTGACTTACACATCGCGACGCGCATCGTGCCCGACACGCCCGCTATCTTTTGCGTCAGACCCGGCGTCTTGCGCATCACGCCCGGTATCCAGCTCTTCGCGCCCAGCGTCCGAATTCAGCATTCAGGCCACTGACATGGGAGAGCCATGCGAAATCCCGGAGCTTCCTTCATTACGGTACGAAGACATACCAAACCCCGAGGAGAGCATCGGATGCCCCAGTGGACGCACCAGCATAAGGTCGTCGTTCCGAACTTTTTCGACGCGCCGAAAGTCCGTTAGCACCGCGCGGACTTCTATTGCGCTATCATCATATTCAGGGAGCCCTCCCAGCCTGGCCTCTTTCGGCAAGATGAGAGGCTCCATCAGGCAGCCGTCCTCTGCGGGCTTGTCGAGCCGCAAGACGTCCATCATTGACACAGACACCACTACTACCACCGGAAACACAACCGATGAAGAAACCCCCGCCCCGGTCGTAGAGAGGATCGAGTGCGCGAAGCCGGAATCGCCGAACATGGGGCGGTTCCTCCAGTCATTCCACAAGGGTGCGAGAGCTTGTGTTTCCTATATTTTCGGACGGAAGGCAGCGACCCAGCAACTCAGAACGTTCTAAAGCTAGGTCTTGAGAAAAGTGCGGTGGTATTACCGGGCTGCTGGTTCAGCCCGAGTGTACTCATATAATCATAATAGTTTATTACGGCCCACTAGAACTTTGGCCATAACGTCCCGCACCCACATTTGGGCACCCCCCACATTTGGGCACCCCAAAAATCATGATGCATTTCACTATATATCAACTTCAGCCATTGATTATATTTAATCTATTGCCACAACAATACTATTTCCCTCAAGAGTAGGTAAATCAGACTTGCTGGATTTATCTGAGCTATCCTCAATTTCGCCCGCTTCAATTTGAGCCTTCCGAATAGCTTTAATGTTGGCAAACTTCGAATTTAGGCTCGTTGTGACCTTCTTCCGCTTCCTAGCCCTAGATGCCTCAACTTCTGCTTCCAGCGCCTCAATCTTTCGCTAAGCTACAGCCAGTTTATAGCTCTGTTTATCAAATCCCTTTTGAACCTTACGAAAAAGTAGTCGTTAAGTATTTCGATTATGCCTAACCTTGTTATATAAGTTAAATTAATCCTATAGCTTAGACTGCTTCGTTAGCGTTAACTAGCATACTGCTAATGTCTCTGATGCCTATTTTTCGCCTGCTATAGCATTAGACAGTCCCTTATAAGGCTGATCGGTCTGTCTAGCTAGTGTTGATAGGTTCCTAAGTAGAAGAAGGCTTATTAGCGGTTTGGCTATGCTTATAGGCTATAGACCTATATATTTCCAACCGCTAATAATATTCTTGCTTATAAATGCTATATAGCGTACTTTTCCATAGTAGAGGAGAAAGTTTCTCTTGCCTATAATAGTGCTAGCGTCCCATTGATCTAGGTATAGAAGCTTTTTCTTATATATGGCTTTCAGCGGCCCAAATACTGACTGATCAAGCGGCTGAAGAACGTGGGATGTATATAGCGGTAGGAAGAGTAAGAGTATCTTATTCTTAAAGCAGATATACATGAATTCTGTTGTTTCATGGCTACCATGCCCATCAAGAATGAGTAATCTAGACTCTTTAGGGTCTTGGGGTTGGGTCAATGGTATAAAGACCTTCTGTAGCTATTTAATAGTAGTAGAATCCGACGTCTAGCTATTTTCTATTGCTATGAACTTCTAGCTATCATATTTAGTTAAATCGAGAGGAAACTACTACTATTAAACAGTCTTCCCCTTATATATTATAAGTAGAGGCAGTGCCTTGCTAGTTGCAGAGATATACTTAATCAGAGATGTCTAAGCCTGAGACCTAGGCTGTTTCTTTCGAATAGAGCGAGTTTCTGATGATCTAAGAACTAATCTATTTGATCCTCTGCCTTCTAGAATACCTGTTTCATCCATATTATATCGATTGCTTGCTTTGATTGCCTGTATCTTAGGTAGAGCGAGATGCTTGAACTATTCCCTGATTATATTAGTTGAGGCACTATTGACACGCTAGGAATCAATTGCTTTGCTTCTCTAAACCTTGATTGATGGATTTCTCTTGATAAATGATTAAACCTAGTTTCTTCCGAGAGGCTGGAAGTCTCTACGTGTCTATAGAATCCTCTTAGCAAAATCCTTAAGCTGTTGATAGGTTGGTGGAAAGCCTAGGGCAGCTTGTATTCGAATCCATTCAGCCAAGTGACTTTCCTAGGTTAGTAATAGCCTCTGTAACCTAGCGAAAGCAACACCTCTTGTTTAGTAACCTTTTATTCTGTTTTATAGTATAGTTCGTAGTATGCCCTTATCATAAGCTGCTTTTTTTATACTACAGCCGCTAGTAACAGCCTTAAGTGCCTTAAGCAAGTCATCTTCGGTATATTAGCGTATATAGGTATAAATAATAAGCATATAAAGTTAGATTATAATTAGTAAAAAGTTAAAAAAGTAGTAAATAGTTAAAGTTGAGGGGTAGTCATGGTGTTGAGCGATTTTTGGGGTGCCCAAATGTGGGGGGTGCCCAAATGTGGGTGCGGGACGTTACAGGTTGAACCAATAAACAATTAATTCCCTTTTTGTAGCATTTCTCAGCGGGCTGGTCTACGCTTCCAGATCGAATGTATTGTATGTGGTTTGAGGTCGCTTGATAGTTGCCAGTGGTTTTGTGGTGTTCGTTCTGTAACCTCCCTCTTGATCAGCACCGCCCCCTTGATCAAAGCCCGGCGCACGATCACCGAACAGCTCGTCCATCTGCTCCAACGACTTTCCCCTTGTTTCAGGGTAAAAGAAATAGTAGCATGTCGCTGCTACAAGGTTGAAGAAGAAGAAGACGTAGAAAAACTTGAATCCCACTGCGGTGAGAGCCTGTGGCGCGAATGAGACCAGGATGAGGTTGACAGTCCAGTTCGTAAATGTTGTCATTGCGTTTCCGAGGGCCCGAATCTCCACGGGGAAAATTTCGGCCGGGTAAACCCAGCTTATAATACCGAGAGGGGTGAAGAAGAATCCAAAGACGAAGTTCATGGCGACCATGCTGCGCAGTTGGTCTGCGTTGTTCCGATCAAGGTATTGGAACTGGATGGCATTGACCAACAGAGCCGCCGCAAGACCGATGGCGGACACAATGAGCGGTCTCACACGGCCAACACGATCCAGCAGCCAGAGGCCGACCGAGTTGTAAATGATACCGAGGGCGCCATTAATACCAATGATCATTAGCGATGTTTGAGTGCCGATGCCCAAGAGCTCGTAAATCCTAGGTCCGAAATAGTTGATGACGTTAATACCGGACAAGGGAGAAAATGCCTGGACGCCGCAACCCAGAATCAGGCGTTTGCGCCAGGAGGGCCTAGTGAGAATCTCTTTCCAAAGGTTCCAATTCTTGTTGAGGGTAGACTGCGTCCGGACAGCGAGGCGGATCTCGTTGTACTCGACCTCAACCACCTTCTCGTCAACGCCAATGCGCAGCTTATCGAGGCCTTGACGCGCCTCGTCTTGTCGTCCCTTTTCCATGAGCCACCGAGGGGACTCTTGGAGGAAGAAGATGCCCACTGCCAGGACAATCCCAGGGATACACTGGAACGCCAGGGGGAAGCGCCCTTGAGGTCGGTTAGCATATACACCGAGAATAATCGGCTGTGAAGCTTACATGAAAAGTCATCTTTCACAAACGAACACCCATAACCCAGCCACTGTGCGACCAAGAAGCCCCAGCTCAGCATCCACTGCAGCAGGCCGGACAGTTTACCTCGATGCTTCGCTTCAGAGAGCTCCGAGGCGTACATCGGAATCGTCGATGTGAGGATCCCGATCGCGACGCCGCCGATGAATCTCCCGACTATAAGAGTAAGAAGGTTCCGTGAGCCAGCCTGGAGCGCAGATCCCAGGCCGGAAATAACAGAACCTAGGAAGACGGTATTCCGACGTCCCAACCAGTCGGAGAACAGCATGTTCACCATCGTTCCAAGGATAGCTCCTCCTTGGAACGATGATACAATGCCCCCCGCAATGGCATCGGATGGGTGAAAATAATCTTTGAATGTCTGAAGGGCGATGGTAGACGTGATGATGCCCGAGTCGAAACCGAAGAGAAAGCCTCCAGTGGCCAGGAAGGCGGCCGAAAAAAGAGTTACATGACGACCCATTGAAGCTATATAATAACGGTGTATTTATCGTGTTTTTTATAAATCGACCTTCTTATATGCACCCCACATTAACAAAGAGAACAACAAACAAGGCGAGCGGTTCGAGTTACAATCAAGAGGAGCAAGATCAGCTCAACGGTCGGTTTTTTCGCCCCAATGCACCAACGGCTGGACTCTTTCTTTTCTTTTTCGAGATGAGGAGGAGACGAAGAAAAGGCGAACGGGGCTTCAAGTGTGTTATTCTCTTTCACATGCCGCCCGGAACAGGCCTGTGCGACCAAGTTCCCTCGTTAGAGTGTAGAGATCTACCTACGTGACGTGGACGTTTTAAGCATGAAACTTTGCGGCTCTGTGAGCCATTCACGGTTTCCTGTTTCGAAGAGGTTGCCGAAATAGAGTTGCCGTCTGAGATGATATTTGCAGCTCTTACACCCGCTTCCGAAACCCGTGACCGAAACGTTGTTTCTTCTGATGTTATTCAGATGCATGTACTATTTTCGGCTTGATGCCGTCATCTTTTCTGCCATCTGGTCCCTCCCATTGGGTTCCCAGGATGCAAGCCTTGCAGTGTGATTTACGGCGCGCTTCTTTGTAAGAACGGCAGTCATTTTTTTTATGTATTGTATGTATCGTGAATAGGTTGTTTCTCAACGCAGACAATGCAAAACGGAAACGCCTCGGATATGAAGCCGTTTTTTATCGGCCGATCATCCTTATGTGTCAGCCCAAGACAAACAGCGTTGTCCCCAGCCAGAGGGAGCGCGGCCACAAGGCTTCATCCCGCATTTCGCCAATAATACCCCGTTTAGTGCCAAGGCGGGTGAACTTTCATGTGTTGAGAAGAATCAGGTTTTCTGATTCGCCCATTGTTTCCAGAGCATCAGCAAGCTTTCCATGCAAGCGACACTCACTTCGCCGCCACGGCGAGGTTTCATGCCGATGGGCCAGTCTGAAGCTGAATCAGCTGTATCGAGACGTTTCCCGATGCGAGGAGAGAACATGGAGTATCGGCAATGACTGAGTTTGGCTTGACTAGGGCGCTACAGCTCCATGGTAACAGGAAGCTCATTGCCTAATCGGGAACTTGGTGTCCTTCGATAAGATAGATACTTGCAAGTTTAATTGTATGAATGTTGACTACACAAGTAGCACTCAACAAAACCGCAGACCCAAGATTTATCCAGACGTCTCACAAAACAAATTGCAGGTTTAAAGTCTCATTGACCGAACCCACCAATCACGAACTCGAGCAGGTCTCCGCGCAACTACCGTCGGAATTCTCCAGAATCTTTCATACCCGCATATTAGATGACGCCCCCCATGCTGTCACGACAGGTTCATACCTACTACGCAAAACTCACCATCGCTGAATCACACAAATCTCCAGGAATCAAAGCATAAGACGACGTCAAAGCTCGTGAACCGAACATCTCGACTCCGCATTCCCCTGAATCAGACAACCCGGAAAGCATTGGTGTCAGTCAACCCGCCGCAACCGGCCAAAACAGTTCGCACTGACCACGCCGTACGTCATACCGCGACGAAACCTCACGTTGCAGACAAGTTACATTTTTCCCTTCTTTCATGCGTTTCATTTTTTATTTGCAGTAAAAGGAAACTCATACACATATATACATTAGAAATCGTCCACTTTCATGTTTTTTGCTTCAACAAAACGGGGGGCTTTTTTCGCCCACACGGAAGAAAACCCGTCAGCCTCACTTTACACGCCCTTTACGCGCTGGGCTCGGCCCACTCGTAGCCCAGGGGCTGGACGACGCCAAAGTTGGGGGTGCCGTCGGCGTTGGCGGTGAGGGGCTGGACCATGACGTAGCGGTTGTCGTCGCAGGCGCCGTTGGCGTTGCCGGTGGCGTGGAAGGTGATGTAGGTGGTCGTCTCGTCGGGGCTGCGGAAGAAGCTGTTGTGGCCGGTGCCGAAGTTGCCGTTGGCGGCGGTCAGCTTGCAGCCGTCGCTCTTGGTCCAGGCGGAGGGGGAGGCCGGGTCGGTGCGGCCGTCCCACTCGAGGAGGGCGACGCAGTAGTCCGGGGTCCAGCAGTAGTTGGCCGAGTAGGCGATGTAGGTCTTGCCGCCAAAGTAGAGGCCGTACTGGCCCTCCTGGACGGGCACCTCGCTCTGCTCCCACGGCTGGTCGGGCTGGGAGATGATGGTGATGTTGGAAGAGGCCGAGATGTAGTCGTCGTTGAGCTTGCGCACGCAGGTGGACTGGTGGGGGACGCCCGTCATGCACGAGTAGACAAAGTAGTTGCCCCAGTCGTTGAAGCGGACGACGGTGCCGTCGAGGGACCAGTCGTCGGTGACTCTGCCGGCGTAGGACCAGTCATCCCAAGGGGACGCGCCGCCTGTTGTTAAGTCTTGTTAGTTATCTCTTGCTGACGGGAAACTAAAAGGGGGATGGAGCCACCTACCCTTGAGGACGTGCATGCGCTGGCCGTCCAAGTTACCGTCGTTACCGGCGGTGTAGTAGAGGTACCACCGGCCGTCAAAGTAGTGGATCTCGGGGGCCCAGACGCTGCAGCATCGCGTCGGGTTCGAGTCGGAGTAGATGACCTTGGGGGTGGCGGTCTTCAGGCCCTCGATGGTGGTGGCACGCGCGAGCTGGAGGTTGGTCCACTCGGTCGAGATGAAGTAGTAGTAGCCGTCGAACCACGAGATTTGAGGGTCACCGCCGCCGGGGTTGCGGATGGGGTTGGTGAAGGCGGCGGCCGAGCCGAAGAGGCTGAAGAGGCCCAAAGAGGCGGAGACAATCTTGGACAGATACATGACTGCGATGTCCCCTGGTGAACTTGACAGGATGAACAGGTCTGCTTCGATCGGGCTTTATCATCATGGGCAGGATCTCATGGCTTTATAGCCGTGCCGCCGACGGACATGAAGTAGGAGCAAGACTGCCGACATCATCAGCAGTTCATTCCCCTCCAAGCCAGTTGCTACCCCTGGGCAGATCCCATGAGAAATCGAGCGGCACGTGGAAGCGGCTGGGGGCTACGGCCGTTATGGTTACAAGCATTCTCGCGATGTAACTGGAGCGCTTTGGACCGAGTCAAGGTAGACAACAAGGACGATCCGGGACGACCCTGTTGAGGGGGCACACCCGTTCAATCATTCGTGCTTAACAGTCGGGTTCGGGATAGAGGGCAATCAGTATGCGGAGAGGCCAAGACCAGGCTAGCCGCGATGCCAGCCGATATCGACGGTCTACTCGGTACCTGCTTTGAGGAGGTTACACGGGATTGGCGCGCGAAAGAAAAAAGGCTGGCTTTAGTGTGGATGTTGATGGATGGCGGGGTAGCAGCCCGTGGGGAGAGAATGCGCCGTTGTCACCTTAAAAAATCCGTGTGGGGTTCATCCGTTCGATTCGGTTGTTCTGCACAAGTCCTGTAATAGTATGGAGTAGTACCCTTAGATGGTGGCCAAGGCCGGCTTTCGTGTTTACATAGTACACACTACGTAGTAGTACCTAGTAGGTAGACAAGGTTAAGAGAGACACCACCATTATTACCCCGTGTCTGTGTGTCCCCGGTCGACTTTACCGGCATCCACTTCCAAGTTTCTCCGTGGGCGCATGATGTGGTTAGGCCCCGCGTAACCCCCAGTCCCTCCAGGCGGTGCAATGCATGATGATTCTACTCTTTTTTTTTTTTTTTTTTTTTTCCTCTCTTCTCGTGGTGGATTGACGTCAGGAATAGTCGGAATGGGTTAACGCGGCGCTAAGTAGTTATAGTCATTGTTTTCTGTCTCTGCCATGGTGCGCTTACAACGTCGCTGGCAGACAGATTAAACCAGAGTGTCAATGATGTCTACCATGTGCTTTGCTGACATTGATCCTCTCCACCACGGCTTGGCAGCGCGTATGCATGTTCAATTCTTCTCGTTATCGCTCATAGTAGTGGCCTACCTATGTTTTTCCCGAGTCCATCCCAGCTTTTGGCGGCCGCAGCTTCGCCGAAGGCGTAAACTTACGTAAATTTGCAGTGACAAAAGTTCGTGGCTTCGTCAACAGGCCAACGCAGTACCAATTCGAACCTCATCTTCTTGTTGATTTTTGTTTCTCTTTTAGTTTATGGATTGTAGTCTTAGTTGACCTACCGCCAATCAATGCGCGTTTATGGAGAACTGGATGAATCCTCGGTAGCAATCCCGATGATGCCAGTTGCTTGACTCTCGGATCTTCGGTTTATCGCTTCCATGGCGCCCATCCTTGAACCTTATCCTTACGTCCGAGCTTCCCAGGGCCGATTTTACTGGCATGGATTCATTTGCATGGATCTATTGCATACAGCTTAATTGTGCGACACGGGCAACGTTTACTACCAGTAAAGGCATATCTGTTGTAAAAGTGATCTGATTAAACAGATGTTTGCATTAAAATAAAGAGAATGGAAAAAATAGAAAAGAAAGTCAGGAAGCACAGATAAGAAATGGATTGAGAAAAGACTAAGATGAGAAAGCGAGGAGCACGGAAAAATGAATGAATTTAAAAAAAAAAAAAAAAAAAAAAAAAAACACAGATACTATTTAATTGGCTGTACTAAATAGAGTTCCAATTTACTACTACACTAATCAAGTCACGAGCAAAGCATGCTACGCGGTAGTACTATCCTATCGAGGTCGAGTTGACTACAGGTATATCTTCGTGAGGATAAGAAGCAACAAAAAGCCCAGCCAAGAAATTTTCTAGCCAACCAAACAATTCAAGCAAAAGATACTTACACAATACACAGAATCTAGCAATGGAACAGGTTCCTTGCGTTGTCAGGGTTGCGGGGGTGCAGCCGAGGAAACATGGGGCTTACAGTCTACGGTTATGTACCGTATCTCTGATACGAGTGGAAAAGGGTGGCTGTGAGTTGGGGACTATGCGGCTGCAGCCAACCGGACCCTAATGGGATACACGACAACATACTAAAACGTTGCCCTCTGAATAACGAATATGAACATCCACAAGAAACCTCCATGACGTAATCAATCAATGACCGCAA